TTTTCCTCTCAAGGATACATCATGGGAATGCCGAAATCCAAACAGTTTAGAACAGATTTAGCGAACTTCTTTGGGTAGAGTCAGGTCAAACCCTGGTGGCAGCCATGTTTGTTTCTATTATTAGAGGGCGCTTACGAGCGTTCTATCGAATTCGCGTTTCATAATATGGTAGAATGAAAATACCCAGTGCAAATTTACGGCACGCTGTAACTTATGGCGTTACGGTGATAGATGCATAATAATATTATTTAATGGAAGTGCAGCGTTGTATTATTATGTTGTACAACTATATTCTAAATGATGTCACGTCGGTTAGTTGTGAGTACCAAGCATCTAGAAAAGAGATTTGGATTTTGTGGATTTCCCAGACAAAAAAAAAAATAGCATAGCCGCTAAGTGGCAAGGAGGCTTGCAGAATGGTTACTTATATGTTTGAAACTCAACACTATATTATCGGGAAAATACGAACTTTGGTGAGAAATAGAACAATGCAGGTATACAAAATACAAGTTATGCCAATAGCTGTTTACAATATGCGAATGAATACAGCAGTCAGCGCCCTCAGCGGTGCTCCAAATCCAACACAGGCAGAAACACAATATCACGCGTGCCAGTTTGAGTTACACCCCACAACAGCATGCGCGTGCATGTGAAACGCCGTATCTTCGACTTCCGGGAAAGTTGTCTATGACCTACTCACGCCTACATGTCAGGCTAGTGCAACGACTGTATTGCAGGAATTAATGTATTATGTATTAATGTATTACTGTAACAACATCATTTCCGGTTTACTCTGCACACCTGTCATTGCGTGTCATTACGCACACTATATATATATATATATATGTATGTGTTGTAATTTTACCTGGCTAGCGCTCCGTGTAATCTCCATCTCGTCATCGGAACAGTCTTGCAAGTCTTCATCTAAATAATCAAAATACCGAAGTTAGTATCACACAGTAAACACGTGAGTCAAGCTTTGTTTTGATATGTTTTTAAAGTAGCTCACAAAATTGTGCTTATTTGGGTATCCCTTGCGGCTGTAAAGCTTTGATCTACTTCAGAAAGAAAATGCAGGTCACTGTACATCAAAGAATGATATTAATACTTAAACTCAGGCAAAAAATAAGATTCCAGTAATTTTCGTGATTCCTGCCAGCCTTTTCTTACTTTGTTTTTTATAAATGTGAAAAAAATAGATAAAGAGTTATACAAATATTTATAAAATTATAAATTCATGGATTTGGAATTTTTTTTAGAAAATAACACTTTTTGGTATTCGGAACATTAAAATATTTGTGTCAAATAGAATAACATTAAAATAACTTCGAAACATGCACGAGCAAACATACACACTATAAGAATTACAGCAATTTATGTTTTTCAGTTGAAGGTGTACCATTATCATTTGCTGGGCAAATTTCCCGCTCATGCATGGATATTTTTCAGTTTTGGCTTTGACCTCCTCTGCATTGGAAATGATGGCCCACCCCACACCATCATTACTTCAAACGCGTGACACAGTGATCGCTTTAGAATGCAGTGTAACTGGTCGTATTGCAATTAGAATACTATGTATATTATATCAGCTCGCTTACCTGATTTATTTTTGTTGACAAACTGCGGCTTGCGCTTAGCAACAACAGTCTGAATCTATGTGTGTACAAAACAAGAAAATAGAAAAATTAGCAATTAAATAAATTACGGAAACGTGAAGATGTGTGACTCTGTAATTTATGGATATTTCACTCAAGGAGCCAATCACTACGCAGAATGTTTCACCTCACATAACTGACTGTTGAAGTACACGAAACCTGAAACATGCGTTTGTTATTTGTTTTAAATACGTTTCTTCATAATATATACATATTTTTTTTTATTCTGAATGTTTCTAACATGGAATAACAACCATGCTTTGTTGTACTTAGATCTATGTCCATTTTTAGGATACGACTTCAATAAAGACTATTACTTACTTACACCAACACAATATATATACGCAAATTTTGGAGAATTATCACTCACCCATGGTTCATCGTTCTCATCAAAAGTTCCTTTCTTTATTGTCCATGCCCGTTTTATCTAAAATTGGATATACATGTATTACACATGCTATAATGTAATTGGGGGTGTAGCTAGCTGTCCGATTTTTTTGTTTCAATTTGCAAACAGTATTTTATCCTACAATCTCTGGGCAGTGACAGAACATGCACATTGGCCAGTCAATTATTTCAGAATTAAATGTTTAGGTTTACATGTGTGTTATACAAACCACTATAAAAATGTACATACCTC